AGAGAGAAAAAAAGTTGAGAAAGAGAGAGAGAGAGGGGGGACAGAGAGAGAGAGAGAGAGAGAACAAAAAAAAAAGAGGAAGGGAGGAGGCAGGAGAGGGGAGGGAGAAGGGAGAGAGGAGGGAGAGGGGATAGGGCAGAGAAGCATGAGGATTAGGGAAGAGAGGAGGGAGACAGAAGGGAGGAGAGAAGGGAGGAGGGAGGAGGGAGGAGGGAGGAGGAAGGAGGAGCAGGGAGGTAAGAGCGTGAACGTTCGAGGAAGTCCTGAGCGAAAGCGCCGTTCCTGAAGGAAGTCTCGGGCGGGAGCCCACGACGGGCGGGCGATCCCCTGACGGGCGGGTCGGGCGGTTGGGACATTCAAGCGGGATGTCTGAGTATGGCGAGAGCTCGATTACTAAGTAAATTGTAACGGCATTCTTGGCATGAGCGTTGAAAGCGCGATGTCTGAATACATTGCATGGAAGTCACAGGCGAGAGCACAATTCCTGCATAAAGTGTGAAGGGCTCTCTGGCGAGAGCGGGGGTCTTGACTAAATTGCGAGGAGGTCTTGGTTCAATTGCGAGGAAGTCTTGATTCAATTGCGAGGAAGTCTCAAGCGGGAGCGCCGTTCCTGAGAAAATTGTAAGGAAGTCTCAGATGGGAGCGGGGGCCCTGACTAAATTGCGAGGAAGGCACAGGCGGGGGCACCGATCCTGAGTAAATTGTGAGGAAGTCTCAAGAGCGGGGGTCCTGAGTAGATTTGGAGGAAGTCTCGGGCGGGAGCCGTTGTTGTTGTAATCCGGGGGGCCAGGGGCACAGATTGAGCACCAAGACCTGCCCCGTCAAAAAACAGGGTGCGAGCGTCGAGGGGCACACTTTGATTCAGAATTACTCCGACGGAAGAACCCCACATAAGAATCCTCTGGGCGAATCTGGAAAAAGCCATCACCGTCGTCCTCGTGGTTGGTGAGGCGTCCTGGCTGTCTCTTCTGCGTATATTTCCTCTCGCCTTGGCGCGGGCCCCCCTTCCACTCCTTACGTTGTCCCCATCCTCGCCCCCCTGTTTGTTCCGCGCCCCGCCACCTCCTCCCCTTCCTGTTGCATGAGCGCGCATGTCGATGTTCCTCGGCGCCGTCGCCGCCACGGCCAGCACAGGCGCGTTCTCTACTGGTCACGTCGCGCAGCCGTTGGGACAACCCCGCGGGCCAGGCTGTCGGGACAACCCCGCGAGCCGCTGGCGCGCAAGACCAAGCCGTTGGGACAACCCCGCGGGCTTCGAGCGAGGCGCAGCCGCGCTCAGGCGGAAGGCAGCACGAAGCCCAGCTCTGCCGCGAGCTGCTTCGCCTCCGCCCTGGACAAAACCGCTCTCTTGTCGAACACCAGGAGCGCCTTCCGCAGGGACGCCGGCGGCCCGCGCTCCAGGAACTCTCGCGGCGGCGGCCGCAGGATCAGCACGTTCCGCATGCGCGTGGCGCGGGAGAACATGACGTAGAGGCGCAGCCACCACTGCTCGTCCGACATGCCCGTGCGGCCAGCGTCCTCGTCTCTCGCGCAGTCGATGGTGACGCCCTTGCGCAGCGTCTGGCCCTGCGACAGCGTGGAGGTCAGGTAGGACGCGCGCGTCAGGGTGAACCCCGAGCGGCGCACGCTGCGCGCCCCCGAGCTCTGCCATGTGAACTCCCTTTCGCTAGGCCTGAACATCAGCAAGCTCCGCGCCCGCGCCTCGGCCTGGCCGTCGTCGTCGGCGCCTTCGGCGCCCTGTCGCAGCACCTCGGCGACCTCCTGGTAGATCGGAGACTCCTTGAAGCCGTGCACCTGCAGCCAGATTCCCCGCGGTAGGAAGCGGGGGCGAAACAGCTGGCCTGCCGAGCACTCCTCGTAGCGCTGCTCGTCCTCGTGGTGGAACTCGAAGGACACGATGGTGGCCCGCTGCTCCTGCACGAGCCCCAACTTCTTCTTTTTCAGCTCCTCCTGCGCTGCCGTGAACCGCACCTCCATGCCGACGTGGGCCGGTAAAACGCCGTGGATGTCCCCCGTCTTGTGCATGTTCGGGACGTTCAGGAGGCGCCGACCCGCCTCGGGCTCGCCCTGAATCGCGCCGCACTCGTCAACGGTCTGCAGGAAAACAAGGGGCACGCCCAGACGCCGAGCGTCGCGACGAGCGCGCGTGTTGATCCACCTCGCCAGCGTCTCCCAGTATATGCCCATGCCGTAGCCGAGCCGAAAGTTCTCGCGCTGGTGCCGAGGGTCCAGGACGCCCTGGTTGTCCGTGGCCAACGTCTTCTCCCAGGCGGACCAGACCTCAGGTGGGAAGGGCTTGCCCTCGCGCATGCAGCCCAGGAACGTGATCAGAGGGTCCCCGGGCTCGAAGCGCTTCGTGCCCTTCAGCCCGAAGACGCAGGGGATCTGAGAGAAGACCTTGATGGCGTGCTGGATCTCCACCGTCGGCGGGTCCGCGTACCTGTACGACTCGTCGTCGTCCAGGCGCTCGTTCACGTCCGTCAGGAGGCCAATGCTGCCGGTGGGCTTCAGCTGCAGGAAATCGCCGAGGTGCAACACCATGGGCACGCGCCCGAAGTGGTGGTGTGGCCGCTGGTAGTTCGACTCCTGCACGTCGTGCGTGTCACTGCGTCCGTGGCAGGCGCGAAGGTCCAGCGCGTTGTACAGCGCGGCTGCCACCATGCTCATCTCCTCCTTGTTGCGTCCAAAATGTGGCCTGGGAACTGCGTTCTGGCAGCGCGAGAACCCAAAATTGACGACAGTTACAGGTTTTGGATGACCCGCTCGGATTACCAACATGATCTGCGGGCCCCATAGGGAGGGAGTTCCCGCCTGAGACTTCCTCGCAGTTCACTCACAGACGAGGCTCCCGCCTGAGACTTCCTCCATATTCAGGCTTGAGGAGCCCAAAAGTGACGACAGTTACAGGGTTCCGATGACCCGCTCGGATTACCAACATGATTTGCGGGCCCCATAGGGAGGGAGCTCCCGCCTGAGACTTCCACCCAATTCACTCACAGACGAGGCTCCCGCCTGAGACTTCCTCCATTTTCAGGCCTGGGGAGCCCAAAAGTGACGACAGTTACAGGGTTCCGATGACCCGCTCGGATTACCAACATGATCTGCGGGCCCCATAGGGAGGGGGCTCCCGCCTGAGACTTCCTCACAATTTACTCAACGATGATGAGGATGAGGATGATGAGTGGTGGTGAAGATGAGTGGTGAAGAGGATGATGATTGATTGTGAGTGGTGGTGGCGATGATGATGTTTGAATGAGGATGATGCCGATGCCGATGGATGATGATGATGATGATGATGATGATGATGATGATGATGATGATGATGATCGTGAGCGTGTGAGAGAGTGCGAGTGATGATGATGATGAGTATGTGAGTGACTAAGCATGTGAGAGAGCATCATCGATGATGCTGATGAGGTTGATGATGAGAGAGTGCGAGTGAGTGTGAGTGGGTGTGTGTGTGTGTTCCTGTTCCTGCGCGGGGTGTCCAGAGACAACAAGAACCCCACTTTGGATGTGGGGAAAAACAGTATGCACCGGTGAGGGGGGGTCGACAATAATGATCCTTCAGAAATGAAAGTTCAACAGCAACAGCATCAACGACAACACAAACAACGAGAACAAGAGCAACAACACCAACAACAACGACAGCAGCACCAATAACAACCACAACGACAACAACCACAACGGCAACAGCAACAGCAACAGCAGCAGCAACAACGATATGAACAACAACCGCAACAACAACAGCAACAGCAGCAGCAGCAACAATAACAATCACAATGTTAAGACTGTTCGCTCTTATCTGCTCGCGTGCCAATCAAAAAGTATATCCCAAACTCTCGATACCTGCCCTCGTCGTCTTCGATCGCACCCCCCTAGGGGTATGTATCTATATATATATACATATATACATGTAGATATGTGTGTGTGTGTCATACCTGCAGCGTGTAGTTCGTGCAGCTCCTCAGGCAAAGAAAGAGAAGGATGGAAGGATGGGACAAGGAGCAGGCGGGTTGCTGAACCGTGCGTCCTGCATGATTCGCGGGGAAGTATCGAGCGATAGCGCGATTCTCAAATAGATCGTGAGGAAATTCGCAGCGAGAGCGTTGTCGAAGGCGCGGCGTCTAAAAAAAAAAATGCGAGGAAGTTCCACGCTAGAGCGCGAGTTGGGAATACACTGCGAGTGAGTATCAGGCGGGAGCCGTTGTTGCTGTAGTTCGGGACCCAATTACTCAGTTTGGTGTCCCCTCACAATCCCTTGTAAAAAAGGGTGCGAGCCGCAGGAGAAGCACTTGAATTGAAACATAAAATGGTTACCAGAGGGGGGGGGGTCAACAGCAGTATCCTCTAAAGATGAGAACTCCAGAACAACGACAACAACAGCAACAACAACAGCAGCAGCAACAACAACAATATTTACAACAACATCATCGACTTCATCCTCAACATAATCAGCAGCCTTATGATCAGTCGCGTCATCATCACTATAATCGGCAGCAGCAGCATCAACATCGTCGTCATCGGCATCATCAGAAGCAGCATCATCATCAGCAGCATAATCATCATTGGCATCAGCACCAACATCATGGTTATAAACAGCATCATCATCATCATCAGCATCGTCGTCCTCATCATGATCCGCATCATCCTCATCATCATCACCAGCATCAGCATCAGAACCATCCTCAGCATCATAAACGTCATCGTCGTTGTCATCGTCAGCCTCATCCTCATCATCATCCTGCTCATTACCATCATCATCAGCATCAGCATCATCATCAGCAGCATCATCATCATCATCACCATCATCATCATCATCAGCATCATCATCTGCAGCATCATCATCATCATCAGCATCATCACCATCGTCATCACCAACAGCATCCTTCGCCCCCTTTCGTCCTCTCCCTCTCCTCCCCCTCCCTCATCCACTCCTTCCTTCCTGCCTTCTCTCCCCCCTCATCCTGGCAAGACGTTGGCACAGGGCCCCACGCGTC